GGATGGAATAAAGTCAGCAATCCTTATCTTCCATCAAAACAAGGCTATAAGGGGACCGTCTGAGGCGGGGGAGGGGGGGTAGGAGGTCGATTTTGAGTTGTTATATACACTATGATAATCGCGCATGTGTGGGGAACTAATTGATTGTCAGGCCCGTCCTCGGGTTATTTCGTGGCGTAACAGAGACATACCCGTACATAATGCGTTTAAAAACGGCATTACTTATGAATATCAGTTCATGAATGACTAACGAATATTTAGATACTACAAGTAACAATATTTGATAGAATCATATTGATTTATAATAATTCAAGAAGAAATGGAAAATATCGCATTGATTTTACGCATTTGGTCATATTTACTCATGAATTACGCCTTGCATTGGGACTTTCTGGTAATATACTGTAGCTTAGACATTCGTTCTTCCGTGTTCCATATATGAAATATGCAGTACCAAAACATAAAAGAATAGACGTCATCTTCCGAGAGTATGTGATGACACGTGATTTTCATTCAGTTACGTGCATACACCTACATGTACTTCTGCTTGTTCCAAAAAATACATACAGCGTTTACAAACGACATTACTTATGAATATTAGTTCGAGAATGCCTAACGAATGTTTAGATACTACATGTAACAATATTTGATGGAATCATATTGATTTATAATGAAATAATTCGAGGAGAATTGGAAAAAATCGCATTGACTTTACGCATTTGGTCATATTTACTCATGAATTACGCCTTGCATTGGGAGTTTCTGGTAATATGTTGTTGCTTAGACATTCGTTCTCACTTATGCCATATATGATATATGCACGACAAAAAAGAAAAGAAAAGGCAGGAAACAACCGAATGGCATTTCCTCTCATTTCCGCTCATTTCCTCTTTCCTACAATTTTCTATCATAATACCAAGTATTAATAGCAGTTCGTAAATGCCTATAAAATGTTTATACGTGGATTCAAAGCATTTGAAAGAAAATTATGTTTGTATCAAAAAAGTATTAGGTTAACAGGTCCGGGTTCAGGTAACCATGAAATATTTGTTAAAAATTGAAGAATACAGGTTATCTGTCGATGTAGTCAAATTACGACACGCAAGGGCTGTTAGTGGCGGGGCCGGTTGTTAGCTGGCCTCGCTTGCCCCAACCCAATATTTCTCGCGGCATTTTTATGAACACTGAGTCGAGTTATCTACTAGTAAATGTCCCTAGAATTAATTACGAATGAATGAATAAATGGAAATCAATGAGTCAGTTTATTTGGTTACGTGTATACATAAAGTATGCACTGCATCAGTACAATCAGAGGACATGTTACACCATAGACGTTTACTAGGTATGAAATAAATTCATACCTCGACTCCTTCCACATTTTCCCTCCATCCCTCGCGTCTCCCGTAGAGTTCAATTACTTTTAGAAAAATCGATTTTCTGAAATGTAGAGACGATATTACGTATTCTGTTATACGATGAAGCTGCATAATTAGTGTGCGTTAGCTAGAAGTATACAAAACTCGTTATGAGTCTCTAGCAAAAGAATAAGAGGTAGCTATTAATTAGGATTTAGCACCTCACATCAGAGTAGAACGCGCCAAATCTGCCGAATTTCAGAAAAGCCTCAGAGCATTGATCGCTGTTGGCGTGAGCAGGTTGCAGGTTACCGTGCTCGCATTAACCCTTTTGCTTTTTCTCGGGTTTAGGTTCCAGCATGCGTCGCAAGCCCACGATGTTCACTGGATTAACATCGTGGGCTCGATCCCCTCACCGAGTGACCTCTAACCTGTTACCTCATCCTTTTAAGATGTATTTTTTTTTTTTTTTTTGTCTCAATAAACGTGTCAAAGTCAATAAAAAGTCTCGCCTTCCAGGTCACCTGCATTAGCATCTGGCAGAGATTCATCCGCTTACCATTTCTCTCTCGTTTCTAGTGGCACTAGACAGTCACAGGACCTGCATCTTCAGCTGAGTTCCGAGGGCAGTCCCAGGTCGGCCGGTTTTGTGGCAGACGAGCGTGAGCTCGATGATGCTGATGGCTTAGCTCGGATGACATCCTTGCGAAAGCAGCTGTTTGCAGGTATCCCGAGTGCGACACCGTAGATCCAGCGGCAGCAACATATCGCCTAACAGGCTCAATGTTCGCAGATTTGCCGGAGGGAGTTTGCTGTTGTGTGTGCATGGGTCAGGAGGATAGTGCCACGAATTTACACTGTTAATAGATACGTTCAAGTATTTGTATGGCGTCTGCTAGTGACGTCACGGTAGTGTTTTGCTACGTCATTGGTGACGTCATAAACCATGACAATGCAGCCACTCACGAGTGTCCACGAGAGTACACGATACCCCGGTAGAGGGCGCTGATACCCCCTGGTACTTTTTGGGTAGTACCATTACCGAGAGATCTGGTCAGGGCCGGATTTACTAAACTCTCTCGTAAACGCTGTCTCTCGTAACAGTTACGAGAACTATCAACGATTTCTCAACTAGCGACTTTACG